TTGCATCCTTGGAATGGGGTCCATCTTGTCACACATTATGATGTTTGCCCTGCTACACTCAACTTGCTGGTATTTGACCCGTTTATGCTCCTGAGTGGGACTGGTCTATGGTCTCCCTGGACACACTGCCCTTGTGAGTGCACAGCATTCATCTCAAACACTGCAGAAGCATATTTGAAAACCCATCTTGTGTACCATCTCAAACGTCCTTTTTCCCTGCTGTAGGATTGACACCCTACACTGCCTAGGTAAGCTTTCCACTTTCAGGCTTTTCATGACTCCCATCTCAGGCCACGCCCCTGACTTCTTCAATAGCTACTACAGGGCAGATGCTGTGGCAGAGACAGACAAGCAGTAATACCCCCATTGGAAGACTAGTACTGAGTGAGAACCAGGAGGTGGAGCCTCACCGCAGAGGCCAATTGCTCCTTTTCTCTCTTCCATCGGTAACTAAAAGTTCTCCTCCCTCCTTGCAATAGTTCCAGAAAAGTCCAAATACCAAAAATCACTCACACACACTGAGTGACCTCAGGCAAGTAACTGCAGTGTAAAGTCCCAACACCCCAATATTCTAATCAATGAAACCTTCCAGGTACTGACATCAGGCTGCAAGGGAATGCAGCTGCATTAGAAGTGTGCAAATTTACTCCCAAATGATGTGAGAAAATGCACGTGAAACAGAAGCCCATCTCCTGTCTAGACTGTGCCCATCTCCATCCTATCATCTCCAAGTATTTAAGAATCTAAGATACTCTGGCTCCTACATGTTTTGAGTAAGATAAATGGCCTGGGCACAGCAGTTCCAATGGTTTCTACTCATTAGCTTCAGCAGCCCTCTCGCTCACCCGGCCCTGAACTCACATCTCCTATATATTAGCAGCTTCACTTTTCATTCCAACTCTGCATTCTAGAAGACTTGGGTAAGCTAGGATCCTGTACACGAGAGTGCAGGGTTTTTCTTTCCTGGGTTTGTGTGCTACCATTAGGAGCTACTGTTTTGTTCTCCTTGGTGATTATAAGGTCACCACTGTGGTAAGACAATTTTCTGAAGTTATCTATTGTTTTCTAACAGTTAACTTTCATCTGCATTTTAAATTTTGTTGCATAAAAACTTATAACAGTATGTTTTATGATCTATCATATTTTTTATGCGTCTCCTCTAAGTGCTGTAGTGCCCCTGTTGTTATTTTTGGTACTCTTCCAAACTGCCAGTGTTCTGAAGATTTCTCTGTACACTGAAGAGTCAACTTTAAACTTTGTTGATCTGTTTGTTTCCTACTTAGTTTGTAAAAGCCACCAGGAGGTTCTCCCATCCAGCCTTCCCTCCCTCCCTCTCTCCCTCCCTATCTACAGAATATTTTTGTTCCTTAACTTTGGGAAATGAATGTCTGACTCAGCGCTAACCTCCCTTTCTTATACCACGTTCTAGGAGTGTTACAATGCATGAATCCTCATGGCCAACTTTCTTAGGCCATCAATCTCCCCAAATCATGATGTGGAGATTTAATATTAATTATGAATGCTCAACCTTATGCTTGCTCCACTAGCTCTTATAACTTATTTCACCTGTTTCTCTTCATCTACGTTTTGCCTGTGGCTTTTTAACCTTTCTTTCATTCTGTATGTCCTATTTTTCTTTCTTCTTCTGTGTCTGTCTGACTGGCTGGCCCTGGGTATCTCCTTCTCTTTCTCCCTTATTCTCTCTTCTCTTCCAAGCCTAGATTCCTCCTATTCATTCTCTGTCCCCAGCCCCACCTCTCTCTCTACTACCTAGCTACTGGCTGATGAGCTTTTTAGTAGAACAATTAGGTGCCTTAGGCAGGTGAGGCAACACATCTTTACATCATTAGACAATGCAGCCAAAGCAAATGTAACACAGAATTAAAGTAATATTCCATAACACGTAACACCTCTAGAGACTAATTTAGGGGCATTCTATATAATACACACTGTTTTCTTTATTTTTGCTAGGGTCTCACACTCGTGTAGCCGAGATTGGCCTCTGATCCACAGCAATCCTACTGCCTTAGCCTCCTATTATAGATTACAAGCATGAGCCATCACACTCACTTCTTAATCTAAGGCTAATTTAATTTCCATGGCTAATTTTGCTTATAAACTAAATCGTTCATTCATCCTGAGGCATATATAGACTTCTTTAGAAATTCTTCCTACACTGATTTTCCTGTACTGTATTAGGGCCAGAGACTATTATAGCAACCCTTTTCTATTGCACTGAGGCCAGAGAGAGACGACTATTATAGCGATCCTCTGACGCATAGAAATTTGCTCAATTTGTAAGAATATAGTTTTCAAATTGTTTTCTTAAATTTGAAAATCTGGGGCTATGTTGTATACACAAGCATGCTAATATAAAATGTCTACAATTTCTTCGTATTGGCTTGCTTCATTCATGATGGAGAAATGTCAGGGAGTTTAATTTGGGACACTTTATTTTTGTCTCATGTTCAATAAGGCACAGTTATTAAGTGCACACTTAAATTTAGAACACCTCCCCAAGATCTGCCAAAGTTTCTAGCACCATATCTAGGTTTAGGATAAACAAAACCTCAGTGTGGTCCAGTCAGGAAAGCTGGATCCTTGCTTCTGGAGGACGGGGCCAGTAAGAGCCACAGCATCTGCCCAACCTGAATGCGTCTCAGCAGGAGCTGGGAGATTTTAGTCTTGGAGAACTTGGAGCAGATCCTGAGAACTTGACTTGGGACTAATTATAGAAAGCACATTGGTATACCCTGCGCCCTTCTACAATTCAGGATTTAATATCCCAGAGGAAACGAGATGCTAGTTCTGATGTGATTCTGGGAAGCCCCTTGCTCTTTGAAGCAAACTGTGGTGGAGAGTAAACAAGGCGGGGCTCTGAAAGTTCCAGGACCACACTCCTGGGGGGACTGATGGCAGCCGAGTGCCCCAAAGGTCTGGACCCTGCATTAAACAACTCTGCTGAGAAACTGGGGCAAAGAGGACATGGAACTGTGTGGAGACATTAGCGCTCTGGTGGCAGTCAGAGGCAACGGGGAAACAATGCCAGCAAGGGATGCAGCCCACCGGGCAAGCCAGGGGCAAGGGATGCAGCCCACCGGGCGAGCCAGGGGCAAGGCAGCTATTGGCTGCCTCTTTGACTGGGAGAGCAGGTTCAGTTGCTGCAAGCAATCACAATCACAATCACCACTCCTAGGCTGGAAGGATTGTTCAGTTTGTTAGAAAGACCTGAGTTTGACCCCAAAAATCCACATTGTAAAAAGAGAGAGGCATAGGAGGATACAATTGTAATCCCAGCCCTGAGGCAGTGTTGGCAGGAGGATCTCTGGGACTCAGTGGCCACCCATCTGGCTTCAGCAGCAAACTTTAGGACCAAGGACTGTGATTTCAAAGGAGGTAAATGTACCCGAGGATGAGGGCTGAAAGCAGCCACAGCAGCAGGCTAACAAATAGTGACGGCTGTGTCCCAATAAGACTTTGGACATTGGGTCACTTTGTACTGACCAGTTTCCTGGCTGCTTGCTTTGGCTATGGTCAATAGTCTTAAAAATTCTGTGTGTTCTTGAAAATAACTTATAGCCTCCAATTGTGCAGTTCATCATTTTGCACTTAGTAAATCAGAATATGATCATCAGATTCTGATGCTCAAACCCTGTGCTGTATGTGTTTTCTAAGTGAATGTTTACAACCCAGTGTTGTCATCAATTTGTCCACCTTTTACCCTGTAGGTATGTTAATGGGCACACATTAGCCTTGCATTTTATTCTGCATCAATCCAAACGTGTACCAATTGTAAAGTAATCCTCATTGGCTAGAGTGAGAATTATTACCTTGAGTGATACTACCTGGAGATTAATAAGGGTATACTAGTTTCCTTTTTGAGTTTTGTTTGCTGGCACCTTTTTCATTTTTTTTTTTTTAAAGATTACATTGTATACCGACTAGTGGGAATCCACTCTCTCCTTCCAACCTATGGGCCCTGGGGACTGAACTCAAGCTGTTCGGCTTGGAAGCTGGTGTTTTCACCCACTGCATTTGTTAGCTCCACTCTTTCTGTAGGTTTTATTTGGTTCCTTATCAATACTGCAGAGCAGAAATGTTAAGGCTTAGGTTCTTGGGGGTTAAAGTGAACAAAAACCTTTGTTGAAGAGCCAGGCGGTCAGTGGTCTACTTGGTGTCATGACAACTGAGACATCTGATGAGCAGGCATTGGACAGAAGATGTCTCTGCGAACTTTTACAACTTCCCACTATGGGTTTTGATTGGGATTCCTCGGTCACTCAGTGCTCACACAAGAGATAATTCGTCTTTCTACTTGTGTCCATTAGTACCATGAGGCAGTGTGGCGGCAAGGAAGCATCAGAATTCCCAGCCAAGTTGCTAAACCCCTCAGATCTTAGCTCACCCTCTCCTATGCTCCCCAAAAACCCTCATGCCCTGGTGTTTGTTTTCCTGGTGCCTCACTCCTTGCGGAACTCCACCGAAACCTCCAGCACTAACAAAGAATGCTTCTGACATCTGCCAAGTGCTAGGCTTTGGGACAGGCGTACTCAGTGGTTAAAAGCACTTGTAGTGGACGTGCCTACCGGCCTTTAAGATCCTTAAGTAAGGACTATGACTTCCTTGGGTCTAAATCATAGAAACGTTGTCAAGAACTCCTTTACTTCAGCTGAGTGGTGGTGGTGCATGCCTTTAATCCCAGCACTCGGGAGGCAGAGGCAGGTGGATCTTTGTGAGTTCCAGACCACAGCTCCAACCTGCTTCCCTCCCTCCTTTATATAACCCCTACCCCACACAGAGCAAGATGACCCCATGGGTAGAGGCACTGGCTGCCAAGCTTGATGACCCAAGTTCAATCATCCACACTTACATGGTGGAAAAAGAGGATTGAGCATGCCCCTGGCTGGTGTGGACTTCCCATCCCAACAGAGCAATGTAATTTAAGACAAAATGAGGCAGATTTCATTCTCAACAACACAGACTTCTGGAGACAAGAAAGGTAACCCACACTTTCATTTTCTTTATTTTTTTCATTGATACCGTATGGATACAAAGTTTCTAGAAAGCTACAAAATGTCTACCACTTTATCAAGAAGGCATCAAAATGTGTCACTTTGCAAAGACATGAAAACACCTGCAGGAACTGACACAAAAATAGCATTTTTAGAGTGAAGAAATAATTGCACTTAACTGTCATGGATATTAAAGTTATCACACATATGTACCGCGAAAGCTAGAATACATTTTTTTTACAAAGCACTTTATAAAAAAATTCTCTGCACACAAACCCTATAATTTTCATATAACTATCATACTAAAGATAAATTCACTTTAAAGCCAACACTTACAACATTTTTAAACAAAAAGGTACCAGTACCTAAACACAAACGTTAACGAATACAAGAATACTGTACTGCCGGGAGCTTTAGCCAAATGCCTTTTGAAAGTTTCTGCAAACAGTTTAAGAAAACGTGGATAAGCCCCTCTACCTCTTTCTCTGTGGTCTCCCCAAAGAGGACCTAGTCACCCAAAGGCTCAGGTTCCGGAAGATCCAGATCCAGTAGCAGTACAATATCAAAGGAACCACTGACCAGATGAAACGCTTACGCCACAAGCCCATCCTATACACTTTACACAAGAGACAACAGAGAAGCCATGAAGTCGCTTAGAACGGGAACAAACACACGAGGCAAAAACCAATTTTCATAAAATTCGAGCGTATCAAAGAAGTCAAGGCTTTTCAGGTTTTTTAAACGTCACCAAAAAAAAAGATTTTTTTTGTCATTTTTCAGGCACGTACTGTTTTTGTTTTTACTATTTTTTTCCTTGTCTGAAGTCATAAGCCCACTGAAAAAGGCCTAGAGAAGTTGATCTTTCAAGGAGGTAACAGGAGACGTACATTGTTTTTAAAGAAGTGCAGTTAATATCTAGTTTACACAGTGAAACTAATCACAGAAAACAATTAATTTGAAAAATAAAAACACAAAACTCATGGACAGGTTTTCCAAAATGATGGGACGTGTGGATTCTGCCCGCCTTTCTAAGAAGGAGGGGAAATAGAATGTCCATGGTGAAAACCAACAAGGGCCAGGCTGAGCAAGGCTGCAGCCTCGTGGGATCTGACCCTATGGTCACGACAAGGGTGGGGACACAACACAAATGCTGCTTCTACCTAAAGCGATGTAGTGTGGGGCACAGGAACCCAATGCAGATTCACAGGAAAAACAGGTAAGGAAGGCGCAATAAATACAGATATCTTAGTCAACGGCGCATGACTTCAGTGAGGCCTACCCTTTGCAATGCAGTACATTTAGAACACAAAACCTTCATTTTTAAGGATATAAGCAAGAGTTTAGGAGAGACAACTACCGCCAAACAAGACAGCAATGACTAGGAGGAGGCACAAGGAAACACGTTTGACTCATTTCTTCAAGTTGTGGTGTGTTCCTGCCAGGGAGGAGTCCAAGACACCAGACAACTAACCCTAACCTGTACTAAGGAATTCTCCTTTCCATTTGATAATTGGTTTTTTTTTAAAAAAAAACAAAACAAACAGGACTTTTATACAACTTGGGGTGGATACAAATCACTTCTGTGATTTCAGAGCCCAGAGCGGCTGCTTCTTAGACACCAGGGAAGGACAGAGAGAACACATGTGGTAGTGTTTCGAGGCTAACTTCCAAAGTTATCTGTCATTACTTTTACACTTACATCAGCAAAGGAATTGGAAAAAAAAAAGAAAAGAAAAGAAAAGAAAGAAAAAAAAGAAAGGAAAAGAGAAGAAAAAAAACCAAGCAAACTATTTTTCTTCCTGGCTCCTTTTTGCCTCCGTTGTCCTTTTCCTTACTGTAGGGTTTTCCAGATGCACAAAGATTTTACTCTAAGCTGACACATACTTCAAAGAGTTGGCTCTCTGAGGACTAGAACATTCTTGAAAATGCCAAATTGCAAATGTTGTGCTCTTTGGAAGTCTCTCACAGCACATTCGGACATCCGGAGCCAGAAAATTTGCCCAGAGACACTTCGACTGCAATGACCCTAATGAACCCATTTTTAATTTTTGTTCTGCACTGTCATCTCAACGCGAGGCTTCCAACAACCGAACGGTATCGCTGTGTAAAGCGGGCAAGCGCGCACTGTCATCCCACAGACTGGACACGGACACAGGGAGAAGGCGAAGCCGTGGTGTCTGTCCGCTGGCCGGGATTCGGGTGCTTGTGCGCGAGTTCCTTCCCAGGGATGCAGAGCTGGGTGACAGCTGACGGACATGCCGGGCAGTGGGAGGTGGGGGGAGTCGGCACACACAGACACAACAGTTCGCGGGGTTCCCCGCTGCCGCACTGTGCTATAGGTGAGTGGTGGTGGGGTCCCCACTGGCAGGCAGACTCACAGCAGGCAGGGACCACGCGGTGCTCTCGTGGATAGAGGCCTGTGATTGGTTACTCATCCCGGTTAACCAAAGGCATTATGGTGATCTCAAAATATTTTTGGTCTCTCTACAAATTGTCGTTATTACGGTGGCACTTTCTAAGCTGGAATCTCGAGCCAAAGGCACTTTCATGCGGGAGTGCAGAAGATTCACAAATAGCTAAGTATTTGGTCATGAATTTAAAAAGGCATCAATGAAAAGTACAATTCACTCTTCATGGTAAACTGCGGAGTGGCAGCCTTTAGTTTTGGTATGGATACGGATGTGAGAGCAAGGTCAAAGGACGGACTTGGGTTCCGATTCGGCTTGTCTGAAACCAAGTCCTCAGCTTCCTATAGAGCTGGATTTAAAAACGGGCTTTTGAAACAAAAATAAGAAGGATTTGGCTTGTCCTGCTTCGGATCTGGGCCAATTAGCAAATGGACACCGAGAAGAGGCTTGAGAAAAGGCTGGCGGCTACTAAGGTAGTACTAAGGCACTGCTTCACTGGGAGGCTTTGGCAGCTGGGAAGTGAAAACTCCCTTAAAGGAAAGGAAAAGTAACAGTAGTAAGAGAAATGCTTCCAGCTTACAGAAGGGCTCACGGTTCCCAGGCAGCCTGTCACACCGACACCCTACGACGTGACATCTCCAAGATTTAAGGCTTTTCAGAAAAGACACGTGCAGGGCTTAGCCACAGAAACATCAACAGAGAAGTCAGCAACTCGTGCATCCTCCTAACGTCACAGGTGAGGACCCCGACACACAGTTAGTTATTCTACCCTTCCTTAGGACAGGTGTGGTATACCAGAGCAGATACAAAAAGTATACAAATTACAGGTACCTGGTTTGTAAAACTGACCGTCATGTGACTTCAATAGTTGCGGTTGTATAAAAACAGTGGCTAATGCCACCATGGTATCGAAGCCTAATGAAGACCTGGATCTAAAAGTCCTTTGAGGAATTTCAACACCAAAGGTTCTGTTTTGGCTGGTGTGTGAGCAGGACTCTGCTGCTGGGATGGGTGGCAAACAGAAATTTGACTCAAAGCCTGTGGCTGGAGAACTGTCCCCCGAGGAAGTGTAGAGATGCATCAGACTTGCCATCTGCTTATGGTCCCCGGACAGCTCCCGGGGATCTGAAATGACCCTGCCCATGCATTCTCGGGGACCACTTAAGCACAGAGCACCAAGGAAAGATGGCTTCCACCCAGAAGAGGCTGAAGAAGGAAGAGAAGCCCTCACCCTTGTCTGTGACTAACTAGCCGGGAGGCTCTGGACCAGGCACCTCTCACCCGCTGTGTGAAGGGGAATGAACTGTGTTCTCTTTTGGCTTGAGTAAGAGCCACCTTCCTGAACAGACCCAGGTCCACTCCATCCCGAAAGCCGGAAGAGACACAACAGCTGGTATGAAGCAGTGCCAAGGAAACACACCCCAACAACCCCAACAACTAAAGGACGAGGAAGAGTGGGAGCTTGTGAGAACCAAACCGGGGGGGGGGGGGGCCGCACGACTCTTTTTAAGTCCCGGTAAGGTAAGGGCTACAGGACAAAACAGAAATGCTCTTTAAATGGAAGTCAGATGGCTACAGGGAAGGTGTTGGCTAGCTGTACCCAGCTTTCCAAGAGATGAGAGAAAGGGTGACTGGAAAGAGATGGTAGCTGTACAGGAGGAGGGAGGATGCTGAAGAACAGCACCCTGACCCCCTTCCCCCACAAAGAGGCTTATAGGAGAGAAGCTTTCACAGGATGAGAGGAGAAAAACTGGTTATCAATATGCTAACGACAAGTAAGAGAGGGCAGCCGTTTTCACGTAAGGTTGAACCTTGCGCAACCCCGGGCAATGAGCTGTAAGAACTGTGAAAGTGGCCACGGATTCTAAAACCCTCTGAGAGTGCACAGGGCAATGGCCAGCGAACTAGCCAAAATGTCCCTCACTCTAGTTGGCTGGACTGTGGGGGTCTCAGGACATGTAGGTCTCTTCGTTGAAAAGATGGCTTCTAAACTAGGTGGTGAGCAAGGAAGATGCCTACATATGTCCCTGACAGAGCTGTCCTAGAACCACTGTGAGACAACACTAAGAAGGGAGGGGTGAGGGAAGAGAGAGGACAGGACTCGGCAAGGGAGTTATAAGAGAGAAGGAGCCAAGAAGGAGTAGACGCAATCCCACCCAAGGCTTTCATGTGGGAGATAAAGCGAGTCTGGGATAACTGAGTATTGATTAGACAGGGACACTCCAGAAGACTCCTATAGACAGAAAGACTGGGAGAGCAGGTGGTGCAGAAGAATTATCTGTATTCTGTCAATCATGTATTTTAATAAAACGCTGATTGGCCAGGCAGGAAGTATAGGTGGGTCAACAAGACAGGAAGTAGAGGCAGGGCGATGAGGACAGGAATATTCTGGGAAGCAGGAAGCTCCCTCTGCCACTCCTGCCCAGACCACCGAAGTGGCAACATGTGAGCTGACAGCTGAAAAAGGTACCAAGCTATGTGGCTAACATAGATCAGAATAATGAATAATGGGTTAAGATAAGTCATAAGAACTAATAAGTAGCCTGACCTAATGGGCCAATCAGCTTTATAACTTATAGAGATCTCTGTGTGATTGATTTTCTCTGGGACTTGCCGGCTGTGGGGTACCAGGCGGGAACAGATACCCCAACAAGCCGGCCCTCATGTTACAAGCAGGAGGTGGGGCAGGGGGTACTGGAGCTTAGGGTCATTGCTCTCATAAACCCACAGCAGCCGTGAGAACAAGCTGGGCAAATTCCAGCACTGAGGGAGGCTGGGAAGGGCTCATGAGCCTCCATCCAAGGCTGAGGAGCTACTGACAGTTGATAGCTTCTGGGGTAGCCGAAGACAGTTTTCTTTGAAGAGTGTGGTTGTGGTTCCAGTGGATGTCTGTACACCCTTAAGTATATGGGCAGCATGAATTTGCCATGCTGGATGTGCTGGCTAGTTTTATATCAACTTAACACAAGCTATAGTCATCATCTGAGAGGTGGGAACCTCAATTGAGAAAAGATCTCCATAAGAACTGGCTGTAGAGCCGGGTGGTGGGGGCACACGCCTTTAATTCCAACACTCAGGAGGCACAGGCAGGCCAGACCAGAGTGAGTTCCAGGACAGCCAGGGCTGTTACGAAGAGAAATCCTGTCTTGAAAGGGCAGGGGGGGAGGGGCTGCAGGGCATTTTCTTAATTAGTGATGGAGAGGGGAAGGCTCAGCCCACTGTGGGTGGTATCATCCTTGGGCTGCTGGTCTTGAACTCTATAAGAAAGCAGGATAAACAAGCCATGAGGAGCAAGCCAGTAAGCGGCACCTCTTCAGGGTTTCTGCACTAATTCCTGGTCTGGGGTTCCTTCCCTGACTTCCTTTGGTGATGGACTATGATGCAGAAATGTATGCCAAGTAAACCCTTCACTCCCCAGCCTGTTTCTTTGGTCACGGTGTTTCATCATGGCAATGGTAACTGTAAGATGGTGATTATTTTCTTTCTTTAAAGGCGAGAAAGAACAGGAAGCTGGGAGGGGTTGAGATATGGGGATGAAAATAAGTTAGGGGAGGGGTTGAATATATATATATTAAAGAATTGATAGCTGTTTTCAGAGCAAAAAGTGAATCACAGTCATTCCTACCCCTCGCATGGGAAAGGCATTTGGAAGAAGAGGATGCAGGCAGTGAGGAAACAGATATTATCTTAATTCTGAGAAAGCATACCCCTCCCCATTGACAACCACTACCCTCTAGGTGGTACTTGAGAAATAAACCCCCAGAGCTTGGGAGGTATAGAGAGGCAAGTTCACTCCTGAGTGGTAGACCTCTCCCCCATCACCTTCTGGGATGGCCTGGCCTGTAGCCACAGGAGATCATTTGTACCCATTCGTATGGGCCTGGTCTCAGGACAGTAGGACATTCCTCTGGAGGAAGGACGTAGGAAATCAAAGCTAAAGAAACATTCCTAAGGGACTAACTAATGCCATCCCCAGGACAGATCTTTAAACATCTGATCTGAAGACTACCGGGGGAAACCCAGGGTAACCATTCTTTGAGGGCTGGCTTAGATTCAGGGAACCAAGGCAGCTCTCTTGAAGAGAAACCATGCCCTGCTGGCTTACATAATGGAGGCATATTGCTAATGACAAAGTCTTGCACATTCTCCTCAGGTCTTCCCAGGAACCAGGGATGCAGCTGGGAGGAGACAAGAGTCAATCCAGTGTGGTTCTTTTAGCTACATGCCAGCCACGCCCAACCACTGAAGACCACAAGTAGCTGAATACCATAGACGCACAGCCAGAGCAGATGTTGGAACAAAGAAGGAGTGTGTGCCACCTGGATATAGTAGAAGTAGGATTTTACTTGATAGTCTTGGCACACACACACACACACACACACACAATTCGCCATGCTGTTTGATTTTTAAACTTAAAAAGTTTATGTCATATTCTACTGTGTTCACATATTCCTATCCGTGTGTGCATGTGTATGAGTCTAAGGAAACTCTAGCTTTCCTCTTGCCTTCCCTGGGCAGTGGAGGGGTAACCTTTCTTGCTTCCCCAGTGAGAAAGCACGTAGAAAAGTAACCCCAGACTGGCCACATGAGACCAACGCTGCTGGGCAACACTTTGGAATACTCAGATCAGAGAGGTGAAATCTCTCTTGGAAACAGAACTACCAGAATGAGAGAGTCTGCTTGAAAAGATCAGAGAGAGGGGAGTGGGGAGAGAGAGCGCATGAAGAGCCATTGAGGCTTATGAAGAGATGTCAAGGAAAGAGACTCAGAGGAAATAGATCCATGTCTGTAATGCAGATCAGGAGAGGGTGATGAGCAATAGCAAACCACAGAGAACGGACTATCCACACGTGCAGGGACACAGAGCTTCCCATGCACGTTGGGTTACCAGCAACCAACTACCCACAGGCTGGTGAGGAGGCTTGCGACAGTGACAATCTGGGGAGCAGAGACCAAGCCTGATGAGCCTTCTACTTGTCCAGATGATGACAGTTTTCTCCCAGCCACAGGATTCTACATCCTTTGCAACTCACAGTGCAGTATTCATGCCAATTTTAAATTTTTTGCTGTGAAATTTCAGTGGTTCAAATGTGAACTCTTCTCCATAAAAAAATTTGGTTGACCATATAAAATGTAACTGCACACACAAGACTATAACATTGTAAGCTTAGATTTGTTTCAGTATTATCTACTTATTGCAAAAAGAGTCATCTTTTCTTTTTCATTAAATAATCAATTATCACATTAGTACAATACAATTTTACATTTTTAAATATACTATATATGTTAAGGATAAGGGGTGACAATTTCTTCCTTTGCAACACCTGTTTCAACAGTTTAATGAACTAAGATATTAGTTTAACCTTGAAGGGGAAGGTAAAAAATTTGTCTCATTAGGATATTTCTACCAAGTATTTCTTAAGGCTATAGTTTAACATTTGGTTTTAAAAAGAAAGAAAGATTTCGTTTAAAAAATAATTTAGTGAATTACATTCTTCCATAACTTCCACCCTAATTAATTACAAAGATAAGTCTAAAGAATCTTAGTTTTCTTGTACTAATTTACATTTAAAGATTAATTTTACTTGTATCTTAACACAAGAATTTTATGTTGGAAAAACAAACAAAAGAACTAAATACATTTGTATAAAGGCAGTCAATGCCCCGTGGCCAATCCTCTGTCTCAGAACTATTTTCTACCACAACAGGAAACAGGTCTGCAGAGAGAGAGGTTTAGGCTGGTAAGGTTCACCTTCCCCAAGGAATTGTGGGTTGCAGATCTGAGGAATACACAAAAAACTGCATCACAATTTCACAGCTACAATGATAGCAAGAACACATGAAAAAATAATAATAAGTTCACTCAAACAGGATTTAGAAAAGTCAGGGTGTGACCTGGGGGCCAGGGCATCACCTGTGGTGAGGTTTACAGTCAGTCGTTCGATAATGGAGAGAGTGTGTGTGTGCACATATGTGTGTGTATATACAGATTTCTATCTATATAAATAACCAGGTTCAGTCCTTTACAAGCCTGTAGATATGATGCTGTGCTCCATGTTCACTATTTGAAACTTCAAACACACAGGCCATGCAGAGGAGAGTTTCTTGTGTATCCCTGTTTGTTACCACCTGTAGGAAAAAAAAAACAAAAGGCGTAAAATGAGATCATGGCCTATCTGTGCCAAGAGCATGATTTGATGGGAGAGGAGCTGTCTGAAGGTGATGGGTGGATCAAAGACCTGTTCAGCCTTGCTCTGTATCCTCCAACACATTCAGGGGATTGCAACTCCCATTGGAACCCCACCTGAGCCCTGTACCATAATCAAGGAAGATCCATTGCCATTGTCAACAGATCACCTGTCAGAGCTGCTGTGGTTTCTGTATTCATCAATAATCCTCTCTCATAGAACATTCACATGTTTTAGCTGACTTTCACTTATTTTAGTATTTTTATCTTAATTTGAATTGACAAATAATTATAGATAGATAGACAGACAGACAGACAGATAGATAGATAGATAGATATAGGGTGGTGATCGTGATCTGATCCATCATGGGATGGTTAAATCAAGCTAATTACTATATTAAGGATATTTATTTAATTCTGTTAAAAATATTTAAAATCTTATTTTCCCACCTTACATTTAACTTGAGTTAAATTCTACTTTACAACAACTACACAGTTAACTTCCCGGGCACCTTGATTAGTATATCACATCAGCTAGCAGAGGTATTGGCTGTGTAAAGAACAGTGGTACAGACGGAATCTTATCTGGAGACCTGCAGGTACAGGCTGCACTTCTCCGGATGTGTTAGGACTACCCATCCATTCCCCCTGGGTCGCTGTCCCTCCCATGAATAGCCTCTTTCAGATCTGAGCTCTGCTCCTCAAACTGCCTCCCCCGCCCGACCCCGTGCCACCTCAGAAGGAACATTCTCAAGTCCAATCCGATCAGATTTACAACCTCACAACGCTTCAATGGTTTTCTGTGACTTTCATGTTCAAAAACATTTTTGACTTGAGTGCCTTATCTAGCTTGTCAACGGCCTAATTTCCCCTCCGCAATGGTCTGCTTCACCCATTTAAGTTTCCTTTGCTTTCAAGCACCCGAGCTCGGAGTCCCTGATTGAAAAAAATAAAGCCTCACTTCTGATTTTCTCCATGGAGCTATGCAATTCATATAGATTGGTTGTTTTTCAATATCCATCTCATCCAGTGGACTATGAAGAACTGGACCATGTTTCCTAGTTAACCAGCTCAAGCATTTGATGAGTGATCAAAACTCACAACGACCACCAATGCTGTGTGCTCACTATACATCTGCCCCAGAATGAATGCTTGGCCCAGAGTGGGTCGCATCCAACCTCACAACTCAGTGACTGGGTGATAACTGTTCCCTATGACTGCGGAGACTGGGGCACTGGACTAATCAGTTCAAAGATGGTAACCCACCTATGAGCTACATACATTACACCATCTCAGCACAGTGCACCTCTCTGTCAGACACTGGTGATCATTTTATTTTCCATTCATTTACTGGATGAATGCCTGCCTCCCTCATCTGACCCTGGGATGGCTGCCCCACGCATTCAGTTCATCACAATAGTCCTAGCACCTGACACCTGAATATGCACTTAGGTAAAGTCTTACTTCCTCGATAAATGTGAAAAATGTCATCTTTCAACTTCAATGCCCCGTTTACCATCCCTAGAACCCCACACCCCCACATCTCTTTGGACTTCCGTGGGGCTTAGTTCAGAAATATTCAACAATTTCTGACTTTGTATCATAATCTCCTCACTTGCTTCTTTGACTGAACAGGCCAGAGGCCATAAGTCACCACGGCACAAGCACTGTGTTGTTAAATCACTTCCTAGCAGCCAATGCTATACCCATAGTCTAAGCCGAGGGAGCTTAAAAGAGTCTTACTGGTCATCTTGAGGTAGAGAATTGAGATTTGAGAGGTCCATTTATGAATAAAGACAACATGCAGGTCTGAAGACTTTAAATGTCTTGGCTAGGCACATAGAGAGAGCTTTCTGATTTTATGACTCAAGTCTGTGTCAATCGCCATGACCTTGGGTGGGCCATAGTGACTCTTTAACCATAAAAATGGTACTGTAATTCATGGTAAGAATTTTATAATAACATTTACAAAGGGTCTTTGTATCTAATGCAATGCTAGAAATGACTTAGACACATCAATCTTCTTATAAATTCACTGTCTGCCTGACTGTCTGTCTATACTGAGGATTGAAAGCCCAAGGCCTCGTGCATGGTAGGCAAGTTCTCTACCACCGAACATCCCTAGGCCTCTTTTCACTCTGATTTAAAGTTTTTTTTATTTGGTTTTACTTTATATGTGTGCATGTTTGTCTACATGCATATATGTTTAACATGCTTCTGGTGCCCTCAGAGGCCAGGAGAGGGATGTCAGAGTCATTGGAGCTGGAGTAACAGATGGTTGTGAGACACCATGCAGGGAACTGAACCTCGGTCCTCCATAAGAACAAGCGTTCTTAACTGCCAAGTCAGCTCTCAGGCCCCCATTTTTTCATTATTTAATTTGAGACAGAGTCTCACTAAGGTGCCTAGGCTGGCCTTGAACTCTCCAGTAGCCCAGGTAGACCGTGAATGTGCAATTCTCCTGCTTTGGCTTCCTGAGAATCTGGGATTATAAGCCTCGGCACCAGGTCCAACCTCTGTTATCTTGATATCAAAGAGACTGAGATCCAAAGCACACTGGCTCATGGCTCACCTTTGTCTTTCTCGGCTCTGCTTGGGCTATCACTGTCTCTGTGTATTCAGCTCAATTCCCAAGGCAAGGGGGTGCAACCAGAGAGCCTAGCCTATCAGTCTGCATGGCTTTAAATTGTCCAGATAGTGTAACTTCTCCTGTCCATCAACTAGACAGTTTATGCTTTGTAGTTCTGAAGTCTGTGGTTTCCTAAAGCTATGATATTACTTCTTCTTTTTTTTTTTTATGTGTATTGGTGTTTTGCCTACGTGTATGTATGTGTGAGGGTGTTGGGTACCCTGGAACTGTAGCTACAGACAGTTGTGAACTGCCATGTGGGTGCTGGAACTTGAACCTGGGTCCTCTGGACCCAGTACTCTTAACCACTGAGCCATTTCTTCAGCTCCATGATATTATTCCTAACAAATGTTTCTTGGCTATTATTAATTGCTTGTATCAAAATATTTTGTTTAGCTGCTTCTGCTGTTTTGAGAGGGTTTTCTATAGCCTAGTTTGGCCTTGAACTCCTTCCTGATCCTCCTGCCTCCACTTGCCAAGTGCAGGGATTACACACATGTGCCATTATGACTGACTTTTAATGATACATTTTTAACCAAAGCCAGTGAGGTCCCAGGATAGCTCTGCTGGTGGATGTCGTATGTCCAGAGCATGCTGCTAACAGGTACCGGGGTTCTGTGAGAATTAGGGGCTTGGCTTTGACATCACAGGGCCACATTCAGTTCAGCCAGCTCTCTGAGGCAAAGCTGGCACTGGGGCTGTCACCTTCCTCGACGCGCTGTCACAGACACAGCAGGAGCTGAAACTCCTGCTCAAAAAGTGGGTGGCCACCCACTGCAGAGTTCAAGTCATCGGGTTGGTTTGAGAGTCTAGAAAAGAGCGCCACACTCCCTGCCTGCTCTCAAGCGCTGAGACCTGCACTTATTTTGTTTTTGCATGTATTTGGGCCAGAGTTTGAACTTGCATGTCCTCCTTGATCACACTTTCACTTTATCTTAATTTTTTTTCTTTTTGAGATATAATCTCTACCTAAACACAAAACTCAAGATGAGGCCAGAGTGACGACCCCCAGGGATCAGGCAGTCCCTGCCTCTACAGCACTGCGGATCACAGGCGGTGTCATGAGGTCTAGCTTCTTGTGCAGAGAAACAGTCCTCAGTCCTCACACATGTGTGGGAAGCACCTGACTGAGCCATCTCCCAAACATGGACTGCAGCAGGGCAGAGCTTGAGACAGACACCTGGTCCCGACCGCCACAATGTAAACTCATCATCCACCAAAGGGCACTGGTGACTATGAGAGACAGATGCTCTACACTTTCCTCAGATTTCCAGTTTCTAAGCTTCAGGAGCACACGGGCACAGCCGAGACTCCACTAAGAGTCTCTCTCTCCAGAGTAAGTCAAGCTTGTAGAAAAGATCCCATCCAGGCATGCAGCCCTATGTCTAAGCTCTGAGTCCCTGATGGCACTGACCCCTAATTCTGGCTATGCCGTGACTACTTAGGTTGCTTAGGGTTGCAAGCAACTTTACCTGAGTCATCTCATTGTTTAAAGATAGGGTCTTATAGTCTAGCCTGCCTTCAACCTCCTGATTCCCCTGCCTCAGCCTCCCAAGCATGGGGATTATGGGCATGCACTACCACATAAAGCTTAAATCAGAACTTGTTTGTAAAAAGAGAGAACAAGGGTAACCAAGCCTTTCAAACCAAACAGAACAGCATACATCTGCCTGAGAAACCCGTCCCAGTGGAAGCAACATGCCAGGTATGGCATTCCCGAGGTAAACCCTCAGGCTTACCACTCTAGTCACAGAATAACGTGGCAGCCATTCAGAGTGCCTCTCGCCACAGATGGCCTCGTCAGCCCCTTAGGAAAACTGTTCTCACTGAGTTTTAGTTTGGCATTCTGACCTTCCGGTTGAAAGCTATTACAGAATATTTTATGAACATGTTTTGAGGACAAGAGTCTCTGACTCTGGCAAATGATCCCGAACTGGCATTGGAGCAACTTCTCTCAACTCGGCAGTAATGGTGCAGAAGAGCCTGGGCCATCATTTCTTGTCTCTGTTCTGGATTCAGGTCGCAGGTGGACCTGTCTTCGAACCCAAGCCCCAGTACAGCTCAAGCTTGCTGGCTGGGTCACCACCAGATAGCTGTCCAAGTTCCCTTTCTGGAACCCTTACTACTCCCCCCTTCCTCACTGTGCTCAGCAAGCCTCAGTTCAGACTCTGCCAATGCCAAACCAGGAGAGAGACCAACATTACCAATAAAATGGTGAAGTTTTCCAAAACACTGTTCATCATATATTTCTCTGGTAGATGTTTGAGCTTGTGGATGAAGTTGATCATATATTCACACATTGGCGAGCGGTTTATTCGGTACACAAACCGGCCATTCTCGAACCTTGCATACTCCGTCTGCAAGGGAAAAGAGGTTTGAGTATTTTTTTTTACACTTCAAAGCAGAGAGAATGGCTGCTTCTGAATCAACGTGAATCATCTGTTAATATGCTCTGTTATTTGTGTAGATTACCTAGTGAAAAACAAGGCCTACCTTTACTGCTATATACAGAATCTATTATCTTTCTAGAAGTTTAAAAAATGTTGCAGAGAGTGACCTTTAAAGGATTTTGTAGATCCTTTTTCCAGCAAGTGTGTGTGTGTGTGTGTGTGTGTGTGTGTGTGTGTGTGTGTTGCCACACACACTTTTACTGTACTTCACAAAATTCTAGGTAACACAAACTTAGAGGACATGATTCTGGCCCCCTCAAAATACAACTGCTAGCAATGAACCAAACAACCATGGTGGAAGGGGACTGCAGAAGTGACCACTAAGCCTGAATACACAGAGAACTCAAGACCCTAAGGGAGGAACCACTGGGGTCGAACAGGACAATCTGCTGTGATGGATACCCTGAAGACAGATTATACCTGTCCCAACCCCAAGACAGGGTTTCTCTGTGCAAGCGCCCTGGGTGTCCTGGAACTCACTCTGTAGACCAGGCTGGCCTTGAACTCACAGAGATCCACCTGTCTCTGCCTCCAAGTGTTGGGATTAAAGGCGTGCACCACTACCCAGCAACAGATCTTCTTTTGAAACAGGTCTATGTAGCCAGGGCTAGCCTGGAACTAGACATGTTTATCCGGCTGGCTTTGAACCTGCTGGGATTAAAGGCCTGTACCACCGTGCACAGCTCTGAAGACAAACCCTTGATACAGATCTTTAAATCAAGACTCTAAAACCCAAAGCCTGTCTCATCTGTTCTAGAAACATAAAACTGACACAAAACATAAAACATTCAGAATTAACAAGGAACAAATCAATACGATAAAATCATAAAATCCTATTAAATACCTACAATGAGACAGAAATGCACATAGATTTACTATTAACATATCATTTTAAATATAACAATAGTGCTCAAACTGTCTTTCTTTACACTAAATAAAGTACACATCATTTGGAAACAGGAAGTCTGGTTCCTAGCTTAGCAAAGACGGAAAAAGAATAGTAAGACAAACTTATTTCAGCTGCCCCTAGAACCTAGTTACAAAGTCACTGTGACTAAGGCCACAGGGTACTAGGTGGGACAGAGACAGAAAGAGGGTGGAACAGGACCCGGAGCTGCTAGGATATTCAGGAATGCTACAGGGACAGAGTCAGCTGGAAAAAAGACTAATATTTAACAAGTATAACTATTTTCACACACATTACGTGTATGATGTATGTATGTATGTATTTTGCATGCTTGTAGAGGTCAAAGGACAACCTACAGGAGTTCGTTCTCTCCTCTACCAAGTAGGTGCTGGGAATTGAACTCAGGTCCTTAAGGTTTGGTAGAAAGCGCCTTACCTACTAAGCCATCTTGCTGACTGATATCCACCCCGCAAATTTTATCCTAATGTTGTGTTCCTGCTACTCTGTCAGGGCAGCCAGCTCTTCGCCCACCCCCAGTTTTAAATTATCCCTAAAGCTCGGGATTCCCAATTGATATTTCCTGTCTCTCAAGTCTGCTCTTGTATCTCCAATTATCCCCTATTTGTCCCTTGAAAATGTACTTTCTGGTCACTGCTGCTGGCAAACAGAGAGAGTGACCTCTGGCTTCCCCTCCTCTTTAAGCTTTAATACACAGCCACTAAATCCCATTTAGAGGCTCTTACTGGAGTCCCACTGAAGCCATTTCAGCAAAGCTCATGGCCGCTATTAAATCCACTATCAACGCAACCCGCCCACACCCTTCCCTGCCTTTTTACCATCTCTCACTGCCCAAGCTGAGCTTAGAAAGCTCCAGGGCAGCCCGCACCACCCACAGGGCTCTGCCTAAGCTCTTAAGCCCCTCCCTCTCCTGCCAGGCACCCTCTAGCTTGGTTGGAAGCTGAAGTCTTGCCACAGGCAGGTTAGGTCCTGGCCCTGAGAGTCCAGAACTGCTGCAAATAAAACCGGACTCTCCAGGTGGTGGGGGTAAGGCAAAAGGCACTGGGAAGTAGGCAGGTTAAGGCGGTGCCACCTGCAAACTTAATTCACAAAAGCAACTAACCCTGGAAAGACAAACGTGTTTGTAAAAGAAGGGGGGCATGAACGATGCAAGCTGAATACAGCTATTCCCTAATGTCAGGACCGAATGTTGAGTTTCTGTGTTCATTTTGAGTAGCCCAGGCTGGCCTGGACCTTGGGAGTCTCATGCATTTGCTTCCCAAGTTGGATTACAGCACAGGTCAACACTGCCTGCTGAAATTTAAACTTAAAACAGTTAAAATGAAAAAAGTAAAAACAGCAATCAAGGGGTTGGAGAGATGGCTCAGAGGTTAAGCCTTCTTAACTGACTGCTCTTCCAGAGGTCCTGAGCTCAATTCCCAGCAACCATATGGTGGCTCACGGCCATCTGTAATGAGATCTGGTGCCCTCTTCTGGCTAGCAAGCATACAGACAGACAGAACACTGTATACATAATAAATAAATAAATCTTTAAAAATAACAGCAATCAAATTAAAAATCGTCAGGTCTGAGATGGGGCAGTAAGCAGCTTCAGCTACCTTGGTGATCGTCCTCCCCCCCCCACCCCGCCGCCTGCAGCTAGGAAGTGGGGAAGCATCAGACCCCCAGAGGGCCTCTCACGGAGACCAGTACTGGCCAGATGGGCCAGCATCGTTCACAGAGAAGGCTAACACAGAGCATCCTGTCTGCTTTTAGGTGCCACCTAGTCCTTTTTACCTTTCCCACAAGTCAGGGAGAAGGCACATGTGGAAGGGAAAGGTGCCCTGAAAAAGCACCATCCTCTACCCCCTGCCTGCCGGTTACCCAGAGGACTTTCCCACTACAGGGGTCAACTTACCTCTACTTTTTCTACTACTTGTTTCCCAAAGGAGCACACTTTGGTGGAGCAGGTAACCGTCATGTTCTCAGAACTCTCGTACTGACTGCTCACACCGTAAAAGGCCCCGGCGTCATCTTGGATATTGCAGTTTAAGTCCGCCTGTTGAAAGGAAGGAGGGGCAGGTTAATTCTCTCATCCTAGGATCATGGTGATAGAGAACAGAGTAAACCATTGAGCAGCTATGCAGTGGGAAAGAGAGACCTCTCTACAGACACCACCTTGATGGGAAGACACCTCCTTCCCAGGCAGGGCTGGAAGTTCCAGCCCTGCTGCATAGCCAGTCTCCCCCTCCTAAGTGTTTACAGGAATGGCCACCACCATACCCAGTTCCCACATGCCAGGGTCAAACCCAGCCAGAGTCTCATGAATGCTAAGTAAGCACTCCAGCAACTAAGCCCTGCAGTGGTATATATCTGGGAAGTTGTTCCTTGTGAGGACCTGCTACCAGCAAGCATTCAGAACTGGAACAGTATGGTACCCTTGCAATAAAAATTCTGTAAATTTCTAAAATGCACAAAAAAGTAGGACATGAATTGACTGTGTACTCTGCTAATCTTGAGAGAGACTTAAGAAGAAAAAACAAAAACAGGCCTGTAAAGAAGCCACCACACCCAGAGAGGAAAGGCTGACTAACAACCACCCTACAAAGACGCTAAATCCCAGCTACTCAAGTTACTTAACACACACAATAACTTGTCAATAATAACACACATTTTGAAAATACCAACCAAGTTAGAATGGCAGCTATGGTCTGACATCAGCAAAGCCGACGACAGTGATCCTATGAGATGAAGGGAAAGATGCCGCCCATAGTGGCCGCAATTTCCAGATTCCACAACAAGAGTGGATTGGGAACTCTCTTCTTTGTCCAGTGCTAACTCTATTTCAGCTTTATGTAAAATTTCAAACTCTAAAGAGAAGAGGAGAGGACGGCAGTGGCTGAGTCTGCCCATTCAATCTCACCATCACCACATGACTGTCACTCATTTACAAATCCATTAAAGGAAACAAATCAGTGGTTAAGGCCGCCCGAGGGGCACTGATGGCCAAGCTGAGGCTGAAGCGGCAGCTGCAGCAGCCAGACAGCTGCTACAAACAACTCCAGGAATGAGTCTGTCACACATCTGAGTGCATTACTAAAGGCTAGCAACACAGCTACGGGCGCTTATTTAAAGCATGTATGCGCTGTGTATATAAAACAAAATTCCAATTTATCATTTCCTTAATTATTTAGGAACTAAGCAAACAGTCTGGAGGGGTATTTCTTCAGTAGAATGACTTTAGAACTGTGAGGACACCATAATAATGATGACTTTTCTAAACACATGGTTCCTGCCATTGTCCAACAATTCCTCCAGACAAGAAACCCTCATAGCTTAAGCCTGCACCAAATCATATTCATGTCTACCTTGCCCTGGGTCACTGCTGTCTTAGGACTATCAGATATGCTGATGAGCTTTCACTTGGAGCAGACGATCTACCATTATACTTACCCTGAAAAGCAAAGTTATTGATCAGGTGTGGTGGCCTGTAATCTCAGCACTGGAAGCTGAGGCAGGAGGATAGAATCAAGTATGAGGCCACCTTGGTCTACAGTAAATTCAAGGCCAGCCAAAGCTAGACGAGACTCAGTATCAAAAAAGAAAATTATTGGGGGCTGGAGAGATGGCTCAGTGGTTAAGAGCATTGCCTACTCTTCCAGAGGTCCTGAGTTCAATTCCCAGCAACCACATGGTGGCTCACAACCATCTGTAATGAGGTCTGGTGCCCTCTTCTGGCCTGCAGACATACACACAGACAGAATATTGTATACATAATAAATAAATATTAAAAAAAAGAAAATTATTAAATGTTTGAAGGGATGGCTCAGCCTTTGAAGGTTAAAAGCTCTGTCTGCTTTTCCCGAGGACCTGGGTTTGACTCTCAGCACTCACATGGTGGCTTTTAACTGTCTGAATTCCAATTTCAAAGGATCTGATGCCCTCTTCTAGCCTCCTTGAGTACCAGGTACTCATGTAGTACGCAGACAGATTCCACAACAAGAGTGGATGCAGCAAACACACAGATGCACAAAACAAAGAAGAAAGAAGAAAGAAAACTTCAAGGTGCTGGGCTGAAGTTCGGTTGATTGAGTGCTTAGGAAGCATGCATCTCAAAAGCTGGGCACCCACGAGGTGGACACAGAAGATCAGAAGTTCAAGGTCATCCTTAGAAACATAGTGCATTTAAGTTACAAGGTGCAACACATAGGGTATCACTTCAAGAGCAGAGAGAGGCACAAGGTCTTCTCCCTGTGCCATGCTGCTGCTGCTGCTTCTGGTGCTGTATCTGTGATTTCTCCTGGTTCACACATCCTTGTTACCTTAACATAGACAGGCTCTTGTTTTTTGTTTCTCTTACATTCTGAGGGAACAAATTGGGCAGTGGTGGCATATGCTTTTAATCCCAGCACTCAAGAGGTAGAGAGGCACGAGGATCTTTGTAAGTTCAAGGCCAGCCTGGTTTACAGAGCAAGTTCCAGGACAGCCAGGGCCACACAGAGAAACCCTGTTTTGAAAAAAAAAAATCTGAGAGAACTTCAAATTGGAGACATAAACTTTGGAGTCTAGATTTTGAAAGGTTTCCCCGGTGAATGGGAAATAACCCATTTGGCAATACCACAGTTGCTTTACAAAAACTCTCCCAGGGGCTGGAGAGATGGCTCAGAGGTTAAGAACATTGACTGCTCTTCCAGAGGTCCTGAGTTCAATTCCCAGCAACCACATGGTGGCTCATAGCCATCTACAATGAGGTCTGGTGCCCTCTTCTGGCCTGCAGGCATAAACCCCTGTAGACATAATACATAAATAAATCTTTAGAAAAAAAAAAAAAAAAAAAAAGCTCTCCCAGTACATGAGAGAGAATCAGTCATCGGCTGTGTCACGGTTGTCCTTTAGGGATGCTCTAGCAGAAGGCACAGATATGAAAGAGAATTACCTGTCAGCCGACGGCATTGGAACTATTCTTGAAGGAAACTTAAGTTACTGAATCCCCCACCCCCCAGCAAGGAAAACTTAAGAATGCAAGGGTTAAAGGAGACAGCTGTGATGGGCCTGGGGCTCACAAACTCATACCCACCCTGTTGACTTCCCCACAACCAAAGACTCAGGTGTAAAGACATCTAACTTAGGCTGGCTCAGCAGTTAAGAGCACGGTCTGCTCTTTCAGGGTCCTGAGTGCAATTCCCAGCGCACACATGGTGGCTCACAAGCATCTATAACTGTAGTTTCATTGGATCAGACAACCTCTTCTGGTGTACAGGTGAATGTACAGGCAGACAAAACAGACTTAGACATAAAATACACAAATCTTTGAAAAACAAAGCACCTAACTCATAAAATTCTGAAGGTGAAAAAGTAAGAAAGGGAGAAAAATTACGCTGTTCTTAGGGGTTCAAACTATTCCTGCCAGTTTTTAATCTTTTCATTTAAGAGTGTCTTCTTAGCAGAAGTATGGTACAGGACAATTATCTGTATTCTGTCAATCATGTATTTTAATAAAACGCTGATTGGCCAGGCAGGAAGGATAGGTGGGTCAACCAGACAGGAAATAGAGGCAGGGCAATGAGAACAGGAATATTCTGGGAAGCAGGAAGCTCCCTCTGCCATTCCTGCCCAGATCACCGAAAAAGCAACATATGAGCTGACAGCTGAAAAAGGTACTGAGCCACATGGTTAACACAGACAAGAATTATGGGTTACTGTAAGATGTAAAAATTAGTTACAAAAAGCCAGAGCTAATGGGCCAATCAGTTTATAATCTTATGGAGTCCTATGTATGATTTTCTTTGGGACTTTGCCGGGTATGGGGTACCGGGGGGAACAGAAACCCCAACAAGCAGGCCTCAATCATGTTACAGAAGTAAACACAAAAATACAAGAAACAGTGAAAGAAAACCCACACTCCTGCTGCAAACCAGATCTGAAATACATCCTAGACCCCGAGCTCGTTGGAACAGATTGACTATGGAGTGGATTCCAAAAAGGGGAGGACGGGGCAGCCCAAGGAGGCAGCCCTTCTGAGAGACCCACTCGGAGTTCAACTCTTCCTCCTCCACGCAGAAACTCCTCTCGCAGCACCCAGTCCACGCTACCCAACGTCTGAGTGTTTCCATGGATTTCTCCACTAGTACTGCAGGAGGCGGTCACCGGTCACACAGCTCCTTCTCAATGCGTCCTCTACTGCTGCTCCAGCAAACTGCCACGGATTCAGAGGCTTAAAACATGAATTCATCTTGCGCTTTAAGTGACCAGAAATCCTACTGGGTCTCACCAGGTTAAAACCAAGTTATGGATTAGCAATGCTGTCTCTGGCTTGGAGACTTTGAGGGAAATCTGTTTCTTAGTCACTACTAGATACCTGAATCCCTCATCTGTGGCTCCTACTTCCGTTCCTTCTTATCTCTCTCCTGCACTCCTCTTTCCCCATGATTACGCTGAGCTCAGTCAGAAATGTAAGCTATCCTCCCACCCGACCTCCTCCCTGTGGCTGCTGCTAGTGTGACATAGTCACAGACCCCACAGATAGACATGGCATCCCCTGGGGCATCATGACTCTGCCTAGCCCTAGCCCTAACCCTAAGGTCCATTAAGAGAAAAGCATCTCTCTCATAGATGGAGTCTCCGGCCTGGGTCTAGGACCTGGCTAAGGAACTGACTGCCTTTCAGGAAGATGGGTCTACTCCTGGGAAGGCTGGTTCACCTCAAGCCATACTAAAGGAGCAATAATTAGGCTTTAATGAGATAATAAACTTTTCTCCTGGAATTTCCGCCCCAGGGCCACAGTGTACCTGCGCCACAAGTCACTGGAGGGCTCCATGAACTGCCCATTTCCTGAATTCCTCAGAAAAGGCTCATCTTTCCTTTTCCTCTTTCTCCCTGTTCTCAGCATGCTTCCTCGAAAGCTCCCCACCACCCTGCACTTGCCTCTCTGCCATGTGGCCGGCTGACCTCCATAGATAGCAGCTAACTCAATCGGCATGCCTGCCAAACCCTTCTCGTCCTCCTTCTCAAAGCAGTGTTGAGACTGGCCCTGTGTCTGCCCTGGGGATTTTCTTTTAA